CATTTAACGAGACATATGGAAAGAAACTATTTTCTATATGTGGCATTGGTGGACTAAGTTAAGGAAGTCGAATTGGCACAAAAAAATAGCATCATTGAGTGGCATTCTTTGATCTATCGCAGTTCCCTTGGTCATCCCAAGGATTTTCGATTTGTGAACTATGAAACGATAAGCACTATTATTTAGTGCGTATCCCATAAATATGCAATCTACTATTTTTGGGCCGATAGCGACTTTCTTTGGAGACGGAACTTGCACTTTTTCTAGGCACCCCCACACTTTGAAGTATTTGTATGTGGGTTTCTTGCCTTTCCATAGTTCGTAAGGTGTGACATCCTTACCCTTAAGTGGAATTTTGTTCAAAATATAATTTCAATCAGTACCGCATCCCTCCACAGGTTTTGGGGAAGTTCTGAACTTATCAACAAGACATTCATCATTTCCTTAAGTGTTTGATTTTTGCGTTCTGCAACGCTATTCGATTGAGGTGAATATGGTGCCGTTATCTGATGAATTATGCCACTTTTGTTACATAATTCTTCGAACGAGGCCATATATTCGCCACTTATATCACTTCGAACTGTCTTGATTTTATAGTCAAGTTGATTTTCTACCTTGCTTTTGAAGTTCTTGAAGGCCTCGATTGCTTCGCTCTTTTCCCTTAATAGGTAAAGATAGCAATACTTTGTGCAGTCATCGATAAAGGTGATGAAATATTTCTTTCCACCTCTAGTTTGCACAAAGTTTAAATCACATACATCGGTGTGAATTAACTCTAATGGTTTAGTATTCCTTTCGACAGACAAGAAGGGTAATTATGTCATTTTGGCCTCCACGCAAACTTCACATTTGTTTTGAGTGTTCACCTCTTTTATATTTACTAAATTCATATTTACTAATCTTTTTATAGCATTTAGGTTTACATGACCTAATCTACAATGCCATAAATCAGAACACTCAATCAAGTACGAAGAAAAAGCAACATTTTTATTATTAGTAGATGGTGCTCGGCGCACGGCCATTACATTCAATTTGAACAACCCATTTGTAAGATAACCCCTAGCTAGGCACATCTCGTTTTCGCTAATATAAATTTATCTACTACAAAGACAAGTTTAAGACCATGCCTAACTAGTAGCGATCCTGAGACGAGATTTTTCCGAATGTCTGGCACATGCAGGACATCTTTCAGGTTAGTTATTTGTTAGAGGTCATCTTCGGCACCATGTTCCCTACGCCTTGGACCTCATAAGTTGTGTGATTTCCCATGTGCAGTTTTCTCCCGTCGGTCTCCTTGTAGGTCGAAAAGTTTGTTTTGTCGGAACAAACATGACAGGTTGCTCCGGTGTCAATATACTAAGCTCTAGGACTTTCCACATTATTTGTTTCGTACACAACAGTGACAAGGTCGTCACTATTGAGATCACGATCAGTCCGGTGGTTCATCCGACCAGTTAAGAACTCGACTTCTTCTTTTTCGGTGTCTTGCAGTCCTTAACCTGGTGTCCTGTTTTACCATAGTTAAAAAATATAAGTGTAAACTTGGACTGTTTGGCTTTGCCCTTGTCCATTTGAGTTGAACGTGCACATTTTTTGGAGAGATCTCTGACCAAGTTGGCTTTAGCAATATCTCCGTTTTTAGCCTTATGCTGCTTTCTGTTGTCTTCCTCTATCCGGATTCGGACAATCAGATCTTCAAGCCCCACTTGCTTTAGTTCATGCTTCAGCCCATGCTTGAAGTTGCTCCAACTCGGGGGCAATTTCTCAATCATTACACTCGTGATGAGCTTTTCTGGTAGTGGCATCTCCTCGTCGAGAACAAAGTGAACAATGTGTGGAAATTCTTTCACTTGTTCAACGACAGACTTGCCATCTACCATCTTATAGTCCATCAATTGGGCTACAACAAATATTTTAGACCCGACATTCTCAGACTTATATATTTTTTCAAAGGCATCCCACAACCCTTCCGCACTCTTTATTTTACAATATACATTATAAAAGGAGTTAAAGATACTACATAATAGGGTATTTCTTGTCATGTAGTCTCTATGTGCCCACGATGCATAATTCACATGTGTCTGCTGGTCCGCACTGGGCTCTGAGGTAATTGGGCCATTGTACAACACGAACATAGCAAATCCAATCGCAGTCAGGTAGAAGAACATCTTCTTCTGCCACCTCTTAAAGTTCACCCCAATGAATGGTTGTGGAACTTGTACATGGGGCATTATCCGTAGGCCAAGCCCAGGACCAACAGTTTTGGTCGCGAATGAAGCAGAGGGTGCGGCCACAAACCTAGAAAAGCCCCCACATCCCCCTGAAGCAAATCCAGAAAACGTAGGGCTACCTATAAAGAGAACTAGCCTAAGTGGAGGATCGACTACCTTGACTGCGGCTCCGGCGACTCCTCCTCTGGCAGCTCTGGCGAATCTGGAGACGGTTCCGGGGGCGGCTGCGGTGACTCCTCCGGCGATGGTTCTGGCTGTGGCTCCGGCGGCGACTTCGGCAGAGGTTGACATTCTCGCAAAGTAATATCTAATTTTCGATTGTTGAAATAAATAGGTATTGCGAGAGTAACGTTTACCATGAAACCGAGTCGATAATGGATCATATTTCCGAAAATTAGATATGCCCCGGTAGTGCCTTCGGTGGTTGACGTTCTAACCCAGAGATAAAACGGTTTTCGTCTCCAATGAGAGTGACAACTCTAATCGTTGGAGCTCCGATGAACAAAGTGAAAGAGAGGAACTGAGCTAGGGAAGTTGCCAGAAAGCTAAAAGAGATGAGAGGATGATGAAAGAGTTGTTGGTGTGTCAATAATGAAGGGGGAGACCCTTTATATAGGCGTCTCCACTCGGCCAAAATGGCAGAGGATCAATTATGATCATAATTACGACATTAATTACTGATTTAATTTATTCTAAATTCAAAGCTCCCGCTTGAAGCGGTTGTAATTGATTCTAATCAAACTTTCCGTTTGTGACAATCGTAATTTATTCTAATTTCAAACATTCCGTTTGAAACGATCGTAATTTATTCTAATTTCAAACATTCCGTTTGAAACGATTGTAATTTATTCTAATTCAAACCTTTCGTTTCAGATTATAATAAATCTATCAAACGGATAATATTTTATCCAATTAATACTGCGACTTTAGCCATATACCTAGATTTAATTTGGGGTTGTACAATTTGTTTTGTCTCGAGACATACAAAATAACTAAAATATTAACAAAACTTCATATACAATAAATAAATAATATTTATTTCTTTAGTTCAAATTAATCTAATTAATTTGGTATTATCGACCCGTCGTATTTTCACTCACCAAATAATCGATTGTAAAATAACCAATTATCCAACAATAAATTCAAATTTTGACTCTAAATTTTTTGGAACACTTTGACTATAACGTAAGTTTATAACAATGAAAAATTCATTCTTACAGAAAGAATAAAAACATCTTGTCCAATATTAAACTCTCATTTTTAATAATTATAACAAGTGCAACTATTACCTCACTCATTTCCACCAATGACACCATCGGGTGTCACCAATGCCCCCAATAATATATAATATATGATTGATGAAAAATATACAATGAAACATCTATACAATACTATTGTGTAATGTTTGTCTGTCTTTTTCTATTGATTTCTTACAAAGATAATATGAAAAATATTTGTTTATTGAAACCATAAATAAATAAAAAGATTTTGAGTAAGTTTCACGATTAAAGTATATAAAAATTTAATAAAGTTAATTAAAAGAGAGAAATAAAAATATTTTGTGTGGATCATGTGTGTAAATGCTAGATTGTGTTTTTTTTAGGGTTTCAATTTTGTGTTTAGGATTTAAATAGTAAATATTTTGAATTTGAATAGTTATATAATGTGATATTAATATTAATTGATGTAATATATTAAATATAAAATTAATTTTTAATATAATATAGACAATAAATAATAAGTATTTGATTTAATATTTTTTAAGAAAAATTTTGATGAATAAAACCCACAAAACAATATCTTAATTTAATTGATTTATATTTATTAAATATAATTTAATATTTATAAATTTACTATAAGAATAGAAAAATACCAACTAAGTAAGACAAATATAAATATAAATATATATGTCAATTAAAATGAAAGAGTATATAAATTTTTATTTTGAACTTATCAATAATACAATTTACCATTCACATAAAAAAAACTCCCTCGTCCCAAATAATATGTTTACGTTACTGTATATATACGAAAATTTAGGTAAAATATAATTAGTAAGTAATTAAGAAATGTATTAGTAAAAATAATTATTATAAAATAAAAATAATTATAAATTAAGATAACTAAATAGTTTAATTATAGTTAACAAAATTATAAATTATACTATTTAAAATATAATTAAAATGTATAATTATATTTTAAAAAAAATAAAAAAAAACTACGTGCAAGCACGAAAGAAAATAAAAAATATGAACATTTATATAGAACGAAAGAAGTAATAAAATAATAAGATAATTCATTATAATTACATGACTAAAATTTTTACTATCTTAAATATCATGTCATTTATTCAACTTAATTGTTGCGGAGAGAAGTGAAATAGGGTTTGTTTATTTTCAAAAACAATTTTTAACACATTTTTTCAAAAATATTAATATATTATACACATTTATTATTTTTATCTTACATACAGAATTCTTTATACCTAGTATCAAAATTGGTCTTCAAATCAAAATATAAAATAAACACACCCATAGTATCTTATATTCCTTTCGTCTCAGAAGTAAGTATCAATTTGTTTTTTTTTTTTTTAAATATTAGTATTATATTAAAATATTGTAAAAATAAAGTAGAAATAATTAAAATAATTTTATTTTTTCACTAGCGGAGTATAATGTTTTTTTCTTTTTCTTTTATTTTTAATTTTTTATGTGGTAAAAACTCATGTAAAAATTTTGGAGCAAAAACACCAGTTTTGTTCGAGACTCCGTACAAGTCCACCGCGATCAGCTGCAACAAGGGCTTGTTCAGTTCTTTTCAAAATTTGAAGCGCCATGGACTGGTCTGATTCTGAAGTTGATCCCGACGAAATCTTCGGCGACGGCGACGAAGACCCCGAGAATGGGCCATACCCGGTTAGTGATGAAGGGGACGACTTCACTCTTTCACCAAACCCCACCCCCCCTCTATTCCTTATGCTGTGGGAATTAATTAACTGTGAGAAATCTGCAGGAGCGAGATGCCACCAAGGAGATGGTGGTCTATTTGGTGGATGCTTCCCCCAGAATGTTCTCTGCCACTTGCTCTTCGGTTGCTTCTTTTTCCTTCCTGTTTCTTATTTTACTTAATTTCGTTGCTTTGCTGAAGTGCTCTTTTCCTTTTTTTGTATTTTGGGAAAATCTTCAATGGATGTTGCCGTGTGCTGCTATTTTTGCTACGTTTTATGTCAATGGGATTGTTCTGAATTTTCTTTATTTTATCAACTGTGATGTGCTGTTCTTTGAGCTGGATGTGAGTTTTGCTTGCTTTTAAACAGTGGCTGATCAATTTTTCCGATGAATGTAACGAGGGAGAGAAGATTTGAATTAGGAATGGAATTGGTAACTTGTAAGGTTCACTTTTTTGGTGATTATTTTTGAACTGCCTGGAAATATGTGGTGGGTAATGGAAATGGTGTATTCTTTGGTGGAGATATGAGATTTCTTTTTCGTGACAGGAAGTTGGAAGTCTTGATACACAAGATTATGTCTCTACCAAGCATAGCAAAATGACGGTAAGTTTTGTACACGACATCAGAGCAGTTTACATTAAGAAATCTTTTGGCTAATTTCATCATTCACGAAGAAAGTCAGCAAACAAGTAAAGACTATTCGGAAATCAGGATAAAATTTTTGATGAACAGAGAAAAATTAAAATGCTTAAAAATCTTTAGTTTTGAAGAAGATAAGAAAAACTGAAGAGAATTGAGATTGGAAGATTACTCCACGCCGTTCTAAAGCTTGTGCAGTAAGTACTATTTAGATATAACTGTCATATGAAGGTGTCTAAGTCTCTCTTTCATTGATTCATGAAATCCCTATCAATACATTAATTACAATGAATTCTATTGATTATTTCATTCTCTGTTGTGGCACATGAAAGTAGGATGGGATTGTGCACGAAAGTGTGTAGAAAATTCTTTACTTAATTAATGAGCAAAAGGTGATGATCCTTGTTGTATCATTATTATTTACAGGAAAACCAGAAGGATGCTACTCACTTTGAGATTGCTGTCCACAGCATTGCAAGTGCCTTGAAGACTCAAATAATCAATAGATCTTATGATGAAGTTGCAATATGCTTCTTTAATACAGTAAGCTTAATGCTTTTTGAACAGAAGTGGTTTTTAGATTTGATTCTTTGGCATCTAGGTAACTTGTCTCTTACAGTTTCCTTAAGAAATTTCCTTTTAGAGTATTTTAAGGTTTTGCTCAGCTGATTAAAGATCCTTTTGAGGAAAAAGAAAATTGCTCTATTTATGAAAAATTACACTCTTGGGAGTAGGGTTATGAAGGGGAAATTAGATGCATGAGAAGGGAGTGATCTTGGGGGGTTGGGTGGGGTGCAGGGTTATGGTCAATCTCAAGTGTGGCACAAGCGGTATCCGATACAGATTCTCACAATACTCTCTGAGTCAAATGGTCTTTTGCATATGGCTAAGAAATAATAATATTTCGGTTTCATTACTATTCGTTTTCTGTATTAGTACTTTAAAATTTTTGTAGGTTTTGTACCGTCAGAATTTAGTACTATTATGCTAAAAAGTGGTCAAGGTGTCCAAGTCTGTTAGATATATATGTATTAGGGGTATTTTGGTATTTATAATAGTATGATGGCAATTTAGGTATTTTGTATAGTTTTAATATATTAGGGTTTTGTATATTGTAAAATTATTCTTCCTTTTGACGAAAATAATAAAAAAATACAGCGATATTCTTCATAGTATCAAAGCCACCATGATCCTGTCATCCACCCTACCCCGCCCGCCGCCGCGCCTATCGCCGACCGCCGCGCCGCCCGCTGCGCTATCCTTTCTTCTTTCCTTCGGTCTGCTGTTTGTCAAGGCTGTTCTGACTTCTCCTCCTAGGTTGGATTGTTATTAAGTTGTGGCTTAGATTTCTCTTCAATTCAAATATTGCCCAACCATGTCTGCTTCTTTTATGGGTGTTCTTTCTCCAACCCCGCCTATTGCTACATAACGATTGGTTGGGGGTTCTAACTATGGCCTAAAGTTGTCCAATTTTACAAAATGTTATGATCTCTGGAGACATGCGAAGACTTTATATACCAATGATATTCAGCCTTCTACAGCGTGGTATCTAATTTGGTCAATCTTCGTCAACCCGGATTGACAATTCCAGAGTATCTCGGTAAACTTTCATCCATCAAAGCTGAACTCAATTCAGTTTTACCTTCAGGGAAAACGGTTGCGGAGGAGCTTTCTCAGCGTGATACATTCTATATGGTGTGTGCACTAGTTGGTTTTGGTCCAAATTTGAGTCCGGTTCGTGATCAACTCCTTTCCAGCTCAACAGTTCCGACTCTTGATGATGTTTATTCTCGCTTATTACGTGTCTCCTCTGTGGCACATCCGATTATTGATTCTAGAGACAAATATGCTCTACTAGCTTTACCTTCTTCACATATGTGAGGTGATCCTAGTCCTCATGGGAGCTCTCGTGGGAGCTCTCGTCCATGCTGCACTTATTGCAACAGGTGGGGCCATACTTGTGATAAATGTTTTAAATTGCATGGCCGGCCACCTCGGGCTATTGTTGCGCAGGTTGAAACTCCTCAGTTATCGGTAATTCTGTCACTTTGACTGGTTCAGACTATGATGAGTATCTTGCATACCAAGCATTAAAGCAGTTATCTCATTCACCCGTTGCCTCTGTCGCTCACACTGGTACCTTTCTTGGACCATGGGTCCTTGATTCTGGCGCTTCTCATCACCTATCTGGTAATCCAAAATTGTTTTCCGAATTTCATAAGTCTACCTCATTACCTGATGTTACTTTAGCTGATGGGTCACGAGTTTCTATTAAGGCTGTCGGTGATGCTCAACCATTGCATGTGTTCCCTTATCCTCCGTTCTTTTTGTTCCTCATTGTCCATTTAATCTTGTTTCTGTTAGTCAATTAACCAAAACATTGCACTGCTCAATAGTATTTGACTCTGATTCATTCTGTATTAAGGACCGCAGAACGGGGAGGACGATTGACAAAGGACTTGAGCTCCATGGACTGTACCACCTTGACCACCCTCCACCACCTTCACTCCCAATTGCATGTTTCACTGCCAGTTCTCCTCAACTTCTACACCAACGGCTGGGTCATCCGAGTCTCTCTAAGTTGCGTCGGCTTGTTCCAAGTCTTTCTAGTTTATCTTTATTGTCCTGTGAGTCGTGTCAGCTAGGAAAACAAACTCGCGTTTCGTTTCCCCGGCAGGTTAATAATAGGGTTGATATGCCTTTTGCTTTTGTCCACTATGATATATGGGGTCCGTGTCGAACTACTTCTGTATTTGGGTTTCAGTACTTTGTTACCTTTGTTGATGATTTCTCAAGATGTACTTGGCTTTATTTGATGAAAGATTGTTCCGAACTGTTTTATGTCTTTGAAACATTTTATGCTGAAATTCAAAATCAGTTTGGTGTTTCCCTTAAAATATTTTGGACGGATAATGCTACTCAATACTTCTCTACTTCTATGACTCAGTTTATGTCATCTCATGGTATTTTACATAGTCCTCTTGTGCCTATACTCCTCCGCAAAATGGGTTGGCTGAACGCAAAAATCACCACCTAATTGAGACTGCTCGTACTTTGCTTGTGCATCATCATGTTCCTTTCCGGTTTTGGGCTGATGTTGCTCTTACTGCATGCTATCTTATCAACCGCATGCCGTCCTCTGTTCTCTAGAATAAAATTCCCCACCAGATATTGTTCCCTCAAGATCCTTTATATCATTTACCCTTTCGTGTCTTTGGGTGTACTGCATTTGTGCATGATCACTCATTGGGTCGGGATAAGTTAGCTCCACGTGCGCTGAAGTGTGTTTTCCTTCGCTATTCTATGGTTCAAAAGGGTTATAAGTGTTTCTCTCCTGATATTCGTAGGTATTACTTTTCAGTTGATGTTACCTTTTTTGAGTCCATTCCTTATTTCTTTCCGTCATCTTTGATCCCGTCTGTCAGCCACGTGTTACCTATACCTTTCTCTTCTCTTTTTTCGCATCCACCTCTTCAAGTTTATAGTTGTCGTCCTCGCTCGCAAGTGCTCCTTTCCGATGGTTCTACCGCTCATGTTCCTCCAGTGTTTATCGAGCCATTGTCTTCTTCTCCTAAGGCTCCTATCCTACCGGATCCTGCACCACTACGACGAGGTACTCGTTCTTCTCGTAATCCTCATCCCATTTACAATTTTCTTAGTTTTCATCGTTTGTCTCCCACATACTATACCTTTGTGTCAAACTTATTTTCCATCTCCCTTCCTAAATCCCTTCGTGAAGCTCTTTCTCACCCAGGTTGGCGACAAGCAATGGTAGATGAAATGGCAGCTTTGCATGCTAATGGTACATGGGACTTGGTACCTTTGCCTTTAGGTAAGTCTCCCGCGGCTTGTCGTTGGGTTTTTGCAGTTAAGGTTGATGCAGATGGTCAAGTTGCTCGTCTTAAGGCCCGTTTGGTGGCTAAGGGCTTCACACAGGTCTTTCGTAAGGATTATACTGGAACCTTCTCACCTGTTGCCAAAGTGTCTTCGATCCGTCTTTTCATTGCTTTGGATGCTATGCATTCCTGGCCTCTTCATCAGCTTGATATTAAAAATGCATTTCTACATGGCGAACTTCAGAAGGAAATTTATATGGAGCAACCACCTGGATTTGTTGCTCAGGGGGAGTCTGCTTTTGTTTGCAAACTACGCCGTTTGCTTTATGGATTGAAACAATATCTGCGTGCTTGGTTTGGTTGATTTAGCAGTGTTATACAGGAGTTTGACATGATCCGAAGCGCATTAGACCATTTTGTCTTTTATAAGCACACATCAAGTGGTAAGTGTTTATACCTTCTTGTGTACGTTGATGATATTGTTATCATAAAAAATGATCAAGAAGAGGACACTCAGTTAAAACATCTATTTAAGCATTTTCAAACTAAGGATATGGGAGCATTGAAAAGTACTTTCTTTGTATTGAGATTGCTCAATCACGTGATAGTATTGTTCTTTCACAACGGAAGTACGCATTGGATATTCTTAAAGAAAGTGGTTTGTCTGACTGCAAGCCAGTAGACTCTCCCATGGATCCAAATTTGAAGCTTCTTCCGAGATAGGGGGAGCCATAAGCTGACGTAGAAAGATATCGTAGAACGGTTTGTAAGCTTGACTATCTCACACTTACTCGACCTAATATCTCTTTTTCTGTAAGTGTTGTGAGTCAATTTCTTCAGTCTCCATGCGATAGTCACTTAGATGCTGCCATTCGAATCTTGAAGTACATCAAAGGGTCTCCTGGTAGAGGATAATTTTACACCAATCAAGGTCACACTGAAGTAATTGGCTACTCAGATGCTGATTGGGCAGGATCCCCAGTTGATAGATGCTCTACTTCGGGATATTGCATATTTGTGGGAGGTAACCTTATCTCATAGAAAAGTAAGAAACAAAATGTTTTTGCTCGCTAAAGTGCAGAGGCAGAATATCGAGCTATGTCATTAGCGACATGCAAACTTATTTGCATAAAACAACTTCTTCATGAGCTCAAGATAGTGGAAGTTTCAGATAATCAAGCTGCCTTGCATATTGCGTCTAATCCGGTGTTTTCATGTGTTTCATGAGAGGACTAAACATATAGAGATTGATTGTCATTTTATTCGGGAGAAGGTATTATCTGGATGCATCGCCACTCACCATGTTGCTTCGAATGAGCAACTTGCAGACATTCTTACCAAATCTCTTAGAGGTCCTCGAATTAAATTTTTATGTGACAAACTTGGATCATACGACTTGTATTCTCTAGTTTGAGGGGGAGTGTTAGATATATTATGTATAGGGGTATTTTTGTATTTATAATAGTATGAGGGCAGTTTAAGTATTTTGTATAGTTTTAATATATTAGGGTTTTGTATATTGTAAAATTATTCTTCCTTTTGACGAAAATAATAAAAAAATAAAACGATATTCTTCAAAGTCTATTATGAATAGTAGTTGATTCAATAGATATAGGGTGTGTTTGGTTGGGGGTTTGGATTTTGGATTAGGATTTGAATAGTAAAAATTTTGAATGTGAATAGTTGTATGATGTGATATAAATAGGGGTTGATGTGATGTTTTGGATGTAAAATTGATTTTTAGTATAATATAAAAAATAAAAAATATTTATTTGATTTGATATTTTTTTGGGGGAAAAAATTGAATGAATAGTAAGGTTTGGGGAAAATCCCCCAAACAAACACACCCATAGTTTACTTTACTAAGTAATATAAAGTTTCAGTTATTGTATTTATTTTTTGTTTTTTTGGTAGGATTCTTTGCTTAAGGCCTACACCTTGTTAATATATTTCTCCCTTAATATGATGTTTTTTGGTAATGAATTAGTCTGTTTACCCAGTTTGACCTAATTTGATTGATACTTGTGAAATTATTTATCTATAAATCAACAAATCTAAGGTATTTATTGTCCCTTAATCTAATTTATTTAATTATGTACTTGTTTTCTAGAGGGAAAAGAAGAACTTACAGGATTTGAATGGTGTATATGTTTTTACTGTTCCGGACCGAGAGGATTTGGATAGACCAACAGCTAGGCTTATCAAAGAATTTGACTGCATAGAAGGTAAATAGTAGGCAGCCTTATCACCAATATCTAATTTTTGTTTGCTGAACTGGACTTTCAAGTACGTTTCACATTATGTTTGCTAATCTTTATGCTTGTCTTCTATCCATCCAAAATTTGAGAATTGTTGTAAGGGTGACTGTCAACATGCCTTTAACATGACATGTTGAGACCATATGGTTAGGTACCTAATGTGGTGTGTTTAAATAATGTTTGATGTGGTTGTTTTGTTAAAAAATATATATATATTTATATATACATTATTTATATATTCATGGTAAAAAACTGGAATGAAAAACCTAAGAAATCCTACTTTCTATATCAATTCCACTGTTTAAAATAAATTGCATAAAACACCTTTTTGAATCAACTGTTTCTGAAAAACTCTGGAAGCTTAATATGAACATCAATAAGATCTGCCTAAAGATCTCTAGATGTTCTATAATTACTTTTCACGGCATCTCTCACTCGGAACATGAAGCCGACTTCCTTGCAAAATGTGGAGCTAGAGGTTTTGGGATCTTGGAGTTTGGCTATAACCTTAGTTCTTCTATGTTCCTTACTCAGCTACTCTAGGCACATTTCTCTCGCTAGTCTCATTCACCTAGGGTCTGTTTGGTTCGAATGAGGGGAGGGAAGGGAGTGGGAGAAAATATTAAAATTATTATAAGTGTTTGGTTCATATACAAGGGAGGGGAGGGGAGGGAGTGGGAGGAAATATTAAAATTATTCTAATGTGGTTGGTTGTAATGGAGGGGAGGAGATGAGAGAAAAGAAAAGTAGTATTTTTATGTTTAGTTGGAGAGGATAAAAGAAGAAAAATAGAATAATTTTACTATTATATTTTTACAATATATAAATAAAGAAAAATAAAATTATGTAATAGAATTTGAATAACTTATTAATAACATTCATTCCGAAATAATATTTATATGTCCATCAAACTATATGAATATAAATAGTAAAACAAAAATATATAGATAAGGCGAGTTATTATATGTCAATTGGTAGTTTGACGTAGTTTGTTTTATAATACATAAATATTTATTGATACTCAGTATAATACACTATTTCTTCTTATAAAATATTATATTAAAATATTATTTAAAGAAAAACTCAAATCAACACTAATTTCAAATTAATTTCAAAATCACAAAGCAATAAAAGATAATCCTTTTTCATTCTATGTCAAAAACATTTTTTCTTAATTCTAACTCCAATTCTTCTTTTCCATCTCCGTCGCCATCATCACACCATCCACCGTGATGGGAGAGTTCTGCATATAAATAGTAGAGTTTTATGATAGAACTTTATTATTATTATTATTATTATTATTATTATTGTTATTGCTGTTGTTGTTGTTAACATTATTATTGATTAGCATATTTTTAAATTTTAATTTGTGTATTGTTATATGTGCATACAACAATTCTTTTTCTCAACAATTCTATTTTCTATTATCACAAGCTAAATTATAATTGATTCTATGTTATATTTTTCTCAGTTGAATTTCTGTGTTGTACCAAAAAGTATATTCAATTCTCATTCTTTAGACCAATTCTTTTTCTCAAACAATTCTATTTTCTATTATCATTTATCTATAATTCTATTTTATGTACCAAACACATTAAAAGATATGCCTCTATTACCTTTTTGAAAATGAACCAAACATAAACAAAATAGAATTTGTGGAAAATTAGAGATGAGAGAAAAAAGATTATGTATTTCCACATTGATTTGAATTGATAATACACGGTGTTAAATAGAATATTACAATGAGAAAGAAAGGAAACAAACAAACTATTTCTCTCAATTAAGGGATTGACTAATTCCCCAAATTAAGGAATTACAAATTGATTCTCCTAACATATTTGGGTTTTAAAATAATGCAGACATATTTACAGAGCTATTTACAGCTCAACTACTCTTTGACACTCTTGCACAAGATGAGAAGTACATGTCTTCCATTCCCAACTTGGATACAATTTCATGGAAACTCGAACTGTTCATCGCCTTCGTTAGAAGCTAATTGTCTCTCTCTGATGGAACTTAGGACATACATACCAACCCTTTCTCTAGTTTTTCTTTGATGAAATAACTATCAATTTCAATATGCTTTGTCCTATCATGTTGTATAGGATTATGAGTATATTAATAGCTGACGTGTTGTCACAGTAGAGCTTCATGGGACCTTCCCATTTGACTCTCAAATTATCCAAAATGATACCCAACCAAAGTAATTCACATAATCCTTGAGCAATAGCCCTAAATTCTGATTCTACAGATGACCTTGCCACTACATCATAGTTCTTGCTCCTCTATGTCACTAGGTTACCTCCAAGAAAGGTACAATACCTTGTAGTTTATCTTCTATCAACTAGGGAGCCAACATAGTCAGCGCGGTGCAGGCTTCAAGAGTAAGTATATTATTCATTTTGAACAAGATTCCTTTATCCAGATTGCTTTTCAAGTAAGCAGCCTGAAGGCGAGGTTCTCTTGGATCATGCATGAATTGACTGATCATACTTATAGAATATGCTATATCTGATCGAGTGTGAGCAAGGTATATGAGTCTGCCAACCAATCCCTTGTACATTTTTTTATCCACATCTGGTTCTTCTTTAGCTTATCCCAACTTATATTGTTTTTAAGCCAAATCATTTTTATTTGTATTTTAGTTTCAATTACTATTTACTTATTATAAAACAAACTACATCACACTACCTATTGACAAATAGTAACTCAACTTAATTATTTAGTTTTTGCATTACTATTTATATTTATATATGATTTGATGGACAAATAAATATGGTGTTGGAATGAATATTTTATTAATAAGTTATTCAAATTTTATTATATATGACTTTATTTTTCTTTATGCATACATTACCGGGACACAAATAGTAAAATTATTCTATTTTTTTTTCCCTACCCTCCTTACCAAATACAAAATATACTACTTTCCTTTTCCTTTCCTCCCCTCCCCTATATATAAACCAAACACTATTACAATTTTAATATTTCTTCCCCCTTCTCCCCCTCCCCTTCTATTAAAAGCTCTTCCTGCCCCTCATTTGAACCAAAAAGCCCTAATTAGTTTCTAGTGCTCTATTGAATTCTCTACCCATGTCTCTATTGAATTGCTGTATTGGCAGTTAACTTAGTTGGTCTATGTCAAAACTGTGATTGTATTTGTGTATTTTAGGAAGTTTTATATTTGCTGTGCTGTATTCCTATAATAGTGTATGTTTCCATTATTAGGTTTATGTATTTAGGATCAATCCCATAATCACAGGGATTTGTCTTCCTTAGAATTAGCTGTCCTAAAATAGACTGTAGACTTATGTATATATAGAGGTTAAGTAACCTCATAATAGATATAAGAAATAATATTATTTCTTCCAAAATTGAGATGGTATCAGAGCATTCGATCCTTGGGGGTCTCTGACTGTGACTATAACCCTAAGTTGCAGCCTTCATCGTTGCGCTACCTTTAAGCCCTGTCGCAGCCTTTACGCAACCCTCTTTAACTTGATCGCGCTTGGTTATGGCTGAGGTCGTGAACCTAGAAATGGGGACAAACCCAAGACTGTCGGAGTATTGCAGAATATTCATTCTGCTTATCGGCTAAATGGGAAGAATTATCTCAAATGGTCTCAACTCATTAGGACCATCTTGAAAGGAAAAAGAAAGATCAGTCATCTGACTGGTAATGCACCCAAGGAAACAGATTCCTTGTTCAAATCATGGGACGAAGAAGACTCCATGATCATGGCGTGGATGTGGAATTCAATGGTCCCAGAAATCAGTGATACCTGTATGTTTCTTAAATCAACAAAAGAAATTTGGGAGGCAGTAGAACAAACTTATTCTAAGGCCAAGGATGCTGCTCAAATTTATGATGTAAAGGTGAAAACCGTGGCTGCCAAACAGGGAAATAGATCAGTTACAGAATATGCCCATCAACTCAAGTCCTTATGGATGGAATTGGACCACTATAAAGTTATAAAAGCAAAGTGTTCAGAAGACTCAACCATTTGAAAGCAGTGTATTGAACAAGATAGAGTCTATGACTTTTTGGTTGGCCTAAATCCTGAATATGACCAGGCCCGAATTCAAATCCTGGGAAAAGAGAAAGTCCCAAGGCTTAATGAAGTGGTAGCCATAATCCGGAGTGAAGAAAGCAGGAGAGGACTAATGATGGAGACTTAAACCGTTGAAAGCTGCGGAAGGAGGAAGAATCATTGTTGCTAACCAGAGGAAAGGTTGGGTTGCCAATATAGAGAAAAAACATGAGGTTTGATGTACTCATTGTAACAAGCCGCGCCATACAAGGGAAAAGTGCTGGAAATTACATGGAAAACCCCCAAGCCGAGAATGGGGGCCGAAAGGAGGCCCTTCAAAAAAAGGAACGCAAGGGCAAGCACACATTGCTAATGGACAAAATGAAGAATCTGTTCAGCTGAATCATGAAGATATAGAACGGGTAAGATCCATCCTCAATAAATTGGAAAACCCCACAGGTACATGCTCCGTAACATATTCAAGTATGTTTCAATTTCCTTTTGGACTTAATGTTTCAGATACACCATTTACACATTACTGGATATTAGATTCTGGAGCCACTGACCATATGACCCATCTACCCAAATACTTCTCCACATATTCCCCATGTCCTAGCAACAAGAAAATTTCCACAGCAGATGGAACCTTTATAACTGCAGCAGGACAAGGAGAGGTCCGGATAAGCCCATCCATGACATTAAAAAATGTCCTTCATGACCCTAAACTATTTACCAATCTGATTTCTATTCAGAAACTCACAAAAGACCTCCCATGTAATGTTGTTTTTTATAGCAACTCTTGTGTACTGCAGGACAAAGAACTCGGGGAGGACGGTTGGACATGCTAGAGAATGAAATGGCCTATATTCTACATGGAGGATCCTAATCTGCCTACCAAGAGCCACTCTCTCGTATCTGAATCCACCATGACCAACAAAGAGAAAGTTCAACTTTACCATTGCCGTCTAGGACATCCTTCATTTCGAGTTATAAAGGTGCTTTTTCTTTCCGTTTTTAAAAATTTAAATATGGAGAGTCTCCATTGTGAGGTGTGTGAGTTTGCTAAACACAACGTGTACCTTTTCCTATTAGCACCAAGATGAGTTCTTTCCCTTTTTATCTTGTTCACACGGATGTATGGGGTCTTGCTCATGTTCCTAATATCTTAAGTGTTAAATAGTTTTTAACCTTCATAGATGATTGTACCCGGGTGACTTGGGTTTTTTTATTGAAACAAAAATCTGAGGTTAGCTCCGTGTTTGTTCCATTTGTCTTAATGATTAAAAATTAATTTGGGGTCGGTATCAAAAGAATTAGGTCTGACAATGCCAAAGACTACTTTAGCCTTGTCCTAAACTCTTTTTGCCACAAGGAAGGGATAATCCATGAGTCGTCATGTGTGAACACACCTCAACAAAATGGGATTGCAGAAGGAAAAAATGGGCACCTATTAGATCAAACTAGAACCCTTCTTTTTCAAAACCATGTTCCTAAGAGATTTTGGGGGAAGCCCTTCTTACTGCCACCTATCTAATCAATAGGTTACCCACTAAAATCTTAAACTCAAAAAGCCCCGTGGAAGTTCTATCCTCATTCTACCCACACTTGGATCCTATAAATAAACTCCAACCTAGAATATTTGGGTATGTATCCTTTCTGCATATTGATAGTAATGAAAGGAGAAAATTGGACCCTAGGGCTATCAAATGTGTATTCTTAGGGTATTCTACCACACAAAAGGATACAAATGCTTTCACCCCTTATAAAAAAGATTCTATGTGTCAAGAGATGTCACCTTCAACGAATAAGAGAGCTACTTCAAGCAGCCTCATCTTCGGGGGAGAATGTAAGAAAGGAAGATGAGACTCTCTTGCTTCCAAATATGACATTTGGACCTGAAATTGGGACAAATGGCATCGCTGTCCCTGAAATTGAGGGAAGACTTACCTGAACCTGAAATACCTGTATGTGAACCTGCACCTAAACCAACAGAAATACCTGCACCTGAATCGTGCACCTAATGGTGGTAATTTTGGGAAGAATCTGGTATATTCAAGGAGAGGAAAGGCCATTCTAGAATTTGGCAGTGTCCGAGAATCCAACCCATCATCACTGCATGAGGTAACACCTTCAAACCCTATAAATTCCAATGAGTCTAATGAGTTTGTTTCTGAAAATATAGAAACACAGGTGGACCAAACTCTAGACCTACCCGTTGCGCTTAGAAAAGAAACCAGAACTTGCACCCAACAACCACTTTACCCACTATCAAATTTTTTATCCTTTGAAAAATTCTTATCTACCCATAAAACCTTTCTCACAAACCTTAACTCCATACACACACCTTCCTCTGTATCTGAAGCATTGTCTGACAGGAAATGAAAACATGCCATGGATGTAGAAATGGAGGCGTTGAACAAAAGTAGGACCTGGGAACTTGTCACCCTACCACCCGGAAAAAAACCCGTAGGATGCAAGTGGGTGGGTATATACAGTAAAGTATAGGGCTGATGGGACCATCGAACGTTACAAGGCAAGGTTAGTGGCCAAAGGCTTCACTCAAACCTATGGAGTTGATTACTTGGAGAAATTTGCCCCGGTTGCTAAGATGAACACGGTCAGAGTAATATTGTCATTGGCAACAAATCATGATTGGGGCCTACAACAATTCGATGTGAAGAATGCTTTTTTGCATGGAGACCTTGAAGAAAGGCTCTATATGGGCTGCTGGAATTGTTTGCAAGTTGAGAAAGGCTCTATATGGGCTGCTGGAATTGTTTGCAAGTTGAGAAAGGCTCTATATGGGCTGAAACAATCTCCAAGAGCATGGTTTGAAAGATTCACCAAAGTGATGACAAGTTGGGCTACAGACAAAGCCAAAGGGATCACACATTATTTATCAAACATTCAGTTTCAGCGGGAGTAACAATTCTGTTAGTGTATGTAGATGATATTATTAAGTGGGGATGACAAGAAGGATTTTTGGGAATTGAAGTGGCCCATTCCAAGAAAGGAATCTTCATATCTCAACAAAAGTATATTACTGACTTGCTTAAAGAAACAGGTAAGACAACCTGCAAAAGAGCAAGTACTCCAGTTGACCCAAATATAAAGTTGGGAAGTGCGGAGGATGATATTGCTGTGGACACTAGACCAGACATTGCTTTTGCTGTTAGTTTAGTAACAATAGTGTAAATCTTGAAGCATATATGGATGCAGACTATTCGGGGTCAGTAGTAGATAGGAGATCAACCACTGGATATTGCACCTCCCTTGGTGGAAACTTAATGACTTGGAAGAGTAAAAAACACAGTGTAGTAGCTAGATCAAGTGCTGAAGTAGAATTTCGAGCAATGACCCATGGTTGAAGATCATATTGGAGGACTTGAAGATAAGGTGGGATGGACCTATGAGGTTATATTGTGACAATAAATCTGCAATTAGTATAGCCCACAACCTGGTACAACATGATAGAACTAAACATATCGAGGTTGACAGACACTTTATCAAGAAGAAACTAGACAGTGGCATGATTTGCACACCATATGTATCCACTTAGAATCAACTTGGAGACATACTCACCAAGGGGCTAAACAACATTAACTTTGAAGGAATTATATCCAAGCTAGGAATGGAAAACACCTATTCACCAGCTTGAGGGGAGTGTCAAAATTGTGATTGTATTTGTGTATTTTAGGAAGTTTTATATTTGCTGTGCTGTACTCCTATAACAGTGTATGTTTCCATTATTAGGTTTATGTATTTAGGATCAATCACATAATCAGAGAGATTTGTTTTCCTTAGAATTAGGTGTCCTAAAATAGACTGTAGACTCATGTATATATAGAGGTTAAGTAACCTCATAATAGATATAAGAAATAATATTATTTCTTCCAAATTTGAGAGTCTAGGAAGTAAGAATATTACGACATTGTTGTGCCCCGCGATGTGACTTTCAATATTGTTATGAAAATCTAATTTTGTTATTTATTCAGGATAAACTTTTGATTTGATTTTTACATTTAAATGGCCACTGCATTTTCAATATTCTTATTTACCTATTTATTTATCTTTTATTCGTTTTGTCTTCCTTCTCTGAAGCATTGCCAATGTGGTTCTTGTCCCAAATTTTCACTTTTTTTTTTTTTTTTTCATTCAAACAGATTCATTTAGCAAGAACATTGGGAGTGCATATGGCATCTTGTCTGGAACTCGTGACAATTCTCTGTACAATGCCCTTTGGGCTGCACAAGGATTATTACGTAAAGGGTATGCACTTTCGTTTTGCTTTATTCAGAATAATGTATAGAGAAGCTCTTTATTTGCAGAATCTTTGCTAATGTTTGTTTGCATGTTTTTCATTGTTCCTTATGTTGGTAGTGTAATAATTTATGCAGGTCTATTAAGACAACAGATAAAAGGATTCTGCTGATTACTAATGAAGATGATCCGTTTGGGAACATCAAGGGAGTGACAAAAATGGACATGATGAGAACAACACTACAGAGAGCCAAAGTATTGTCTCTGATGCTCCTGCTTTCCTAAAAACTTGAGTCTTCATAAAGATCAAAAGTCCTCGAGCTTTGAATGTGCCAAACTTTATCACTTGTGTTTATTTAATATATGAGTTTAAAAATTGATTATTTATTTATTTATTTTTTCAGGATGCTCAAGAGCTTGGCATCTCGATTGAGATTCTTCCCTTGAGTCGACCAGACAATGAATTTAATATGTCCACTTTTTATGCAGTAATTTCATGATTTCTATCTCTTTTGTTTTCTTTGATTTTCTTTTTTATTTGGTACAAACATCCCTTCTCACTTTTTCAGGATTTACTGGGATTGGAAGGCAAGGATTTGGCTGATTTCAAGGCCTTAGTAGGAGAAAGGTTTGCACTTCACTAGTTCTGTGCTAATTTTTTAACACCTATTTTGATCGAAATTTTTTCAAGTTGGTATTCATATTTCATTTACTCTATACATTAATGAAAAGAAATCAATTTATTAATGAACTCATTTATAAAGAAATTATTTATATGCTAGTTATTTTTTTGTTGCACATATTTAACAGGGATGTAAAGATACATTCTACATGTACTTGTCCGTCATAACCCATTCTACATGAATTTAGCTCTTTCAACTAGCGATGATAACAATTCTGGGTCCAGATGGTTTTCACCTTGACATCTTCAAAGCCATTTTGGAATTCCATTCCATCAGATGTAAAGAATGTTTTTTTCCTTCTACTTGGATGCCCTTATTCTTTCATCAACGGCACATAAAGTCTTCAAAACCTATGGAAACCTCCCAGTACATTTTATCTTTCTTATCCAGGGGCTCTATAAGTTATTTAAGAAGTTCTTGAAAATGTTATTAGTTCCATGCAAATATGTTTTCTTATGGGCAAACAAGGGATGGATGATATTCTAATCACGAATGAAGTAGTGGACCATCATAGGCACAACAACGACGGTGGTTTTGTCCTTAAGCTGGACTTCAAAAGGCACTTGATAATGTCAATTGGTCTTTTCACCTTTTCATATTAGGCTTGGCCACAAAATGGATCTCAATGTGTATCTCCTCCATCCACTCTCTCATCCTGGTCAACAGCTCCTAATATATTGCATCAAGCACCATAAAGTGGAATAAAACCATATGAGTAGAAGGCTGCAAAGAAATCTATAATATTTGGCCGGTAAGAATTACAGAAGGCTTTATAGAAACTTAGCTGAAGCCATCTTGGCTCAGTGCCTTGTTCCCTTTGCAAGCTGAAATAGTTAGAGATATTTCTTCTCCTATAAATATGCGGGAGAGAGACTTGGTGACATCCTTGAGATAAAATCAAAAACATTGATTCTGGAGTGAAGTAAGGGATGCCTGGGTCTGCAAACAGTCTAGAGAAATGAGTAGAAACTCCTGAGTTTATATCTTGGATGGATTTTAGATATAGACAATGACAATGACTTTTATGTTCTACTAGTCATACATAAACAGATGTATCAATTTCCAGGAATATTCGTAATGTGTTGGCTTTGATATGCATCATCGACTAATTATGTTCAAAAATATTTTCTTCTTTCAGACTTGAAGACATGAAAAACCAACTTAGAAAGCGCATGTTTAGAAAACGCAAAGTTAGAAGAATAAACTTCATCCTTGGCAATGGCATATCCATTGAGGTGGATTCCTATGCTTTAGTCCGCCCAACCAACCCAGGTCTGTTAAAGTGTGTGTATGTCTTCTATAGATTCCTTTCAGTTATGGATCTCTTACTGCTCTTTGGTTTCAGGAGCTATCACTTGGCTTGATTCGGTCACTAACCTTCCTGTTAAGGTATTGCAATGAACAAAATTTTTTGTTCTAAACTGGTGTATTGTAATTGAAACTTTGATTTTCAACATGAAAGAATTGCAAATATTGTATATTCTGATATTCAGTATCATAATATGAATTATTAGATTATCACTTTTGCAGTCAGAACGATCTTTCTTCTGTTCAGACACTGGTTCTTTGCTTCAGGAGTCTCCGCAGCTGTTTCAGACTTACAAGAAGTATGTGTTTTCCATTGAGACTACAATTACGTTTATTTTTTATTCTTCTTCTTTTATCTGTTGGCGACGATAAGAATCTATAGTGTATATATATATATATGTGATCATGTTTTTTGTATAAAAATATGCTATTAGATAGTCAAATTTGAGAAAGCTGCATTGTTTGTACTCTGTCATGCTTGAATTGTCTAGTGCAATATGTAGGGCTCTTTTCCATTGTCAAAGTCACATAGAACTCATGTTTGACTTCTACATTTCAGCCCTCTGTTTTGTATTTTTGCATTGAATATGTAGATCTCATTTTTTTTTTTTTGTTTTATTTTGATGATGCTTTCTAAGTCATTCTTTTGAGCTGTATGCCACTTTGTAAATTGTAAAGTCGTTAACTTGCTAAACAAAACTTCAATCTGCTATTATTTTCATTGTTCGAATATGATGTGCATGTTATATAAGAAATTAGTGTTTTGTAAGCATTTGTTCTCTTGCTATTGAGTGTACTTATGGTGACTTTTCTATTCTATTGCTTCAAACATGTGCTTTCTATTGACATGCATTTGACTCATTAGCTTTTACTGTCAATGACTGACATCACACTATTTTCCAGTCAAAATATCTTGTTCTCAGTTGATGAAATTTCCGAAATAAAGAGAACATCTGTTGGTCATCTTCGTCTGTTAGGGTTCAAGCCTTTGAGTTTGTTGAAGGATTATCACAACTTGAGGCCATCTACCTTTGTTTTCCCAAGTGACGAGGTTACTTTACTTACTTTGTTTATCATTATGCCTGTTAGTTTTGATGACCCTTTTTGCATCTTCTGCTCCCTTTCATAGAAGATTTTTTATTTACAGTTTTATTTATTTATTTATCATTATTATTTTTATTATTATTATTGTTATTATTTTGGTATTTGAAAATACAATTGTTATCTTTATTTGTTCTCTTGTTCTTTGATTTGATGTGTTTGGTCCGTGGTTCCACTAATGCATATTTGGGGAAATCACATGCACATACACCTTGACTTATCCTGTATCTGCATAATCCCTAAGGCCTAAACCTGTGGATTCTATTGACAAAGTGCATTAATTTTTTTTAGGGAAAATTGCAAAAAATATTCTTTACTTATACCCAATTATGATTTTTGTCTTTTACTTATCATTCTAGAAAAATATATTTTCCTCATGAATTTCTATCCGAGTCGTAGTGACTTGCACTTCACGGACACTTTAGCCAAAATATATCAGGTATATGTCTCGATTTTGCAAAAAATATCTTATATATATATTTTATATTATCGAATATTGTGCCACGTGTCATTCAATTGCAGCAACGCATGGATTTGGCAAGATGTGAAATTTAGGTGCGGTCAATGTACTGAAATATCAAAATTGTAACACTTGCAAGATGTATTTAGCTATGGTGACAATTAAAAGACAGATTAATAATTAGGCATATGTACGGAATATTTTTTGCAATTTTTCTATTTTTCTTATGATAGTTCCTTACACAATGTAATTTGAAGAAATTTCTTGCCTATCCTAGTAGTCTCAATCAATACTAGAATATCATGATATAAATGTACAAGCAGGGAAGGCAGGGGCAAGGAAAACATTGCAAAGATTAAGTTACAGGGTAAATTATTTAGTATGCCTTACACATAGTGTGAGGAGATACATGAAGTGAGACCCATAGTGTCAGAAGACTCAGAACCAAGAATAAGAGACAAAGTTGTCCGCTATGGTAAACTGGGTGTATTGTGTAGTGGTACAAAATGATGGTGGTAGGTTAGGATTACCTGAGTCACAAAATAGATGACCCATGTGGAAACTTTAGATCCAGAATATACTGCGCACTTAACTGTTTCAACCAATGCACTAGAACAAAGTTGTTGAAATATAAACTATCTTAAAATGATATAGTGTTATCTGTATGGACTTCAATGGTTTTCCATTTATTTTTGGAATGTATTTAGTGTTAACAGCATGATCCCCACCATGAGAGCCACTGCAAGAATTTCCACAAGAGAACTGTTACGAACAACAGATTGAGAAAGCTGAAACTCATTTTGAAAGAAATCAAGTAAAGGTCTCTGGTAGGGAAGGAGTAGTAGATTCTAACAAAACTTGAGAGAAAAAGTTTCATATTCAGGCCATAAGCCACTAAAGAAAGTGATTACAATAGCTAAGCTATTTGTATGGTGTTAAGAAGGGATCCGGGGCTCCAACTTAAAACCAATCGGTAATAAGTGGAGTTGCCCTTTACCCTTATAAATTTAAGGGAGCCTCAACATTTTTTTCAACGTAGGATATATTCAACACTCTCTCCTCGAGATTATATCATCCCGAAATCCTAACCCCGGATCAATATCTAATAAGGGTACCATGACTCTAATACTATGTTAAAGAATCCGGGGCTCGAACTTAAAACTAATTGGTAATAAATGGAGATGCCCTTCACCCCTATAAACTAAGGGAGTCCCAACATTTTTTCCAATGTGAGATATATTCAACATATGGTTTATTAGAAGACATGACATCAAAATTGTCATGGCCAGGTTCCGGGCGTGGCACCACCAAACTTCCAATCACCTATATTCAACATATGGTTTATTAGAAAATATGACATCAAAATTGTCATGGTCAGGTTCCGGGCGTGGCACCACCAAACTTCCAATCACCTTGTTGGTGGCAATTTGGCTATATACAACTTGCCTATTATGAATTTCTAATATTTACTATACAATATAAAATTCTAACATTAAATTACTAACTTTTACTAAGTTCCAAATAATCTATCGAAGTACTAAATACCAATGTCTCAAACATTACTATAAAACACCAAAGTACTAAGATGCCACTTTTAAAATTTCAAAACACCTTGAAGACATCATTAACGTCTAAAAACTCCAACTTCTCAAGTATCTCACTCATCATCATCCATGGTTCAATTGGTGGGAAATGCATTTTCTCATTATGTTCAATTGGTGGGAAATGCATTTTCTCATTATGTTCAATTGGTGGGAAATGCATTTTCTCATTATGTATATCATCATCTTTATCAATTCCCTCATCCTCATTGAAGAATATCGCTGTATTTTTTTTATTATTTTCGTCAAAAGGAAGAATAATTTTACAATATACAAAACCCTAATATATTAAAACTATTCAAAATACCTAAACTGCCTTCATACTATTATAAATACAAAAATACCCCTATACATAATATATCTAACACTCCCTCTCAAACTGGAGAATACAAATCGTATGATCCAAGTTTGTCACATAAAAATTTAATTCGAGGCCTCTAAAAGATGTGGTAAGAATGTTTGCAAGTTGCTCATTCGAAGCAACATGGTGAGTGGCGACGCATTCAGAAAATACCTTCTCCCAAATAAAATGACAATCAATCTCTATATGTTTAGTCCTCTCATGAAACACATGAGAAACACCGGATTAGACGCAATATGCAAGGCAGCTTGATTATCACAAATGAGTTTCATTTCTGAAACTTCCACTATCTTGAGCTCATGAAGAAGTTCTTTTACCCAAATAAGTTCACATGTCGCTAATGCCATGGCTCGATATTCTGCCTCTGCACTTGAGCGAGCAACAATATTCTGTTTCTTACTTTTCCATGAGATAAGGCTACCTTCCACAAATATGCAATATCCCGAAGTAGAGCGTCTATCAACTGGGGATCCTGCCCAATCAGCATCTGAGTAGCCAATTACTTCAGTGTGACCTAGATTGTTGTACAATAATCCTCTACCAGGAGACCCTTTGATGTACTTCAAGACTCGAATGGCAGCATCTAAGTGACTATCGTATGGAGACTGAAGAAATTGACTCACAACACTTACAGCAAAAGAGATATCAGGTCGAGTAAGTGTGAGATAGTTAACCTTACAAACCATTCTACGATATCTTTCTGCGTCAGCTTATGGCTCCCACTGTCCCGGAAGAAGCTTCAAATTTGGATTCATGGGAGAGTCTACTGGCTTGCAGTCAGACAAACCAGTTTCTTCAAGAATATCCAATGCGTACTTCCGTTGTGAAAGAACAATACCATCACGTGATTGAGCAATCTCAATACCAAGAAAGTAACTTCAATGGTCCCATATCCTTAGTTTGAAAATGCTTAAAAAGATGTTGCTTTAACTGAGTGATAACAATATCCTTTCCGGTGATAACAATATCATGAACGTACACAAGAAGGTATAAACACTTATCACTTGATGTGTGCTTATAAAAGACAGAATGGTCTAATGCGTCTCGGATCATGCCAAACTCCTGTATAACACTGCTAAATCGACCAAACCAAGCACGCGGAGATTGTTTCAATCCATAAAGCGAACGGCATAGTTTGCAAACAAAAGCAGACTCCCCCTGAGCAATAAATCCAGGTGGTTGCTCCATATAAATTTCCTCCTGAAGTTCGCCATGTAGAAATGCATTCTTAATATCAAGCTGATGAAGAGGCCATAAATGCATAGCAGCAAAAGCAATAAAAAAACGGATCGAAGACATTTTGGCAACAGGTGAGAAGGTTTCACTATAATCCTGACGAAAGACCTGTGTGAAGCCCGTAGCCACCAAACGGGCCTTGAGACGACCAACTTGACCATCTGCATCAACCTTAACTGCAAAAACCCAACGACAAGCCACAAGAGACTTACCTAAAGGCAAAGGTACCAAGTCCCAAGTACCATTAGCATGCAAAACAGCCATTTCATCTACCATTGCTTGTCGCCAACCTGGGTGAGAAAGAGCTTCACGAAGGGATTTAGGAAGGGAGATGGAAAATAAGTTTGACACTAAGGAAAACACACTTCAGCGCACGTGGAGCTAACTTATCCCGACCCAATGAGTGATCATGCACAAATGCTGTACACCCAAAGACACGAGGGGTAAATGATATAAAGGATCTTGAGGGAACAATATCTTGTAGGGAATTTCATTCTGGGGAACCGAGGACGGCATGCGGTTGATAACATAGCAGGCAGTAAGAGCAATATCAGCCCAAAACCGGAAAGGAACATGATGATGCACAAGCAAAGTACGAGCAGTCTCAATTAGGTGGTGATTTTTGCGTTCAGCCAACCCATTTTGCCAAGGAGTATAGGTACAAGAGGACTGATGTAAAATACCATGAGATGACATAAACTGAGTCATAGGAGTAGAGAAGTAGTCAGTAGCATTATCCGTCCGAAGTATTTTACGGGAAACACCAAACTAATTTTGAATTTCAGCATAAAATGTTTCAAAGATAGAAAATAGTTCGGAATGAGCTTTCATCAAATAAAGCCAAGTACAACTTGAGAAATTATCAATAAAGGTAACAAAGTACTGAAACCCAAATACAAAAGTAGTTCGACACGGATCCCGTATATCAGAGTGGACTAAAGCAAAAGACATATCAACCCTATTATTAACCTGCTGGGGAAACGAAACGCGAGTTAGTTTTCCTAGCTGACACGAGTCACAGCACAATGAAGATAAACTAGAAAGACTTGGAACAAGCCGACGCAACTTAGAGAGACTCGGATGACCTAGCCGTTGGTGTACAAGTTGAGGAGAACTGGCAGTGGAACATGCAATTGGGAGTGAAGGTGGTGGAGGGTGGTCAAGATGGTATAGTCTATGGAGCTCAAGTCCTTTGCCAATCGTCCTCCCCGTTCTGCGGTCCTGAATAGAGAATGAATCAGAGTCAAATGTTATTGAGCAGTGCAATGTTTTGGTTAATTGACTAACAGAAA